TTAATGAGTCTTCCTCCAATCCTGATGCCACGTTTTTCTTCATAGAACCCAGCTTCTTGGATTATTTGCTCAGCATACAGGTTGAATAAGTATGGTGGAAGAATACAACCCAAGCCCACACACTTCCTAATTTTAAACGATTCCGTGTTCTATTGTTCTCTGTATGGCCCGTGTATAGAGTCCTCTTGAGCTCAGTCTACTGTTTTGGAAGACTCATTCTTCAGTGTTACCATGGCTTGGACACATTTTGATCAAGTTAGTAATTGATACAAGGAGCTCAAGGTTAGGCTAGGACTCGTCTCAGAGTGTTCTGTGGAATGGTAACATTAATTGCTCTTGGTTACCTTGTATTCGGGGTGACCCCAGGCGTGTCGGATAGGACTGTGCTTCCACCCAGAACAATACACTGATGCTGTCGCGTGGACTCTGGCGCCAAGTGACTGTCGGATGGAGGGCAGAGGGTTTCTGAGGCTTCCAGCCTTTCAGGGAGCAGGCAGTCTGGTCTGTCTCCTAGGAGCGCCTTTGCCCAGCTCGTTGGCAGGAACCCACTTTCTGATCCTTGGTATTTGGGCTCCCCCCCACCGGCTGCCCACCACAGTGTGTCTGGGACTCAGACTGGGGCCTTTTATGTGTTTCTCCTTCTTCCTTCCCTCCAGCTGCTGGCAGGAGAGCCGGCCCTGCACAGGCTGAGGGGCTGCAACAGCCTGTGTTCATTTTGTGGGAATTCACATCTTTCCCTGGCGAGCGTCTCCTGACCCTGCCAAGTCGCATAGGCACTTGGCTTCTCTCCTCCTATTCAGACATTGGAACTTCCAGTACATTAAAGGGGACGCTCGGATGGGAGCCCTGCAGTATCCGCTGCAAGTCTGTGCCCGGCCTTGGTAAACACAAACATATAGGAAGACAGTGGCGGTATATCCATGGGGATCTAGGTCAAGTTCTAACATCAGCTACACATGCCAGCCCGCAGGCTTCACAGCAGATGATAGTGGGGAAATGGGCCAGCGGTTCCGGAACTTTGTCTGACAACAGGGACCAATTCTTCCTTTTTGTCTACAGTTATGCATTGGTGCTCTTAGTGACCCTGTATAGAGTTTCCAAGGAGCAGCTAGTGGGTTTGAACCGCTGACCTTGTGGTTCGCAGTCCTGTGCTGATCCTACAGTGCCACGCCAGGAGCCCCCAGTGGTGTAGGGAGAGGCAGAAAGTGGTACTTGAGGCCACATCCCACAGATGTTCCTGCGCTTGCAAACCACCAAGGAGCGATTGCAGGAGGCGGCTGGTAGCGGGACACCTTCGACACCAAGAGAACCAACAGAAACAGCACGTGACCTGCTGTCTTAGTTCTCCAGCGACGCTGTTGTTGTTAAGTGCCAACTCACAGACAGCTCATGTATAACGGAAGGAGACACTGCTGGGTCTGTGCCATTCTCACACTTGTCTGAGCCCCTTGTTACAGCCACTGTGCCCACCCATCATTGAGGGTCTTCACCTGTTCACATGATGTCCTGTTGCTGTAACAGGTGGACCACAAAGGGGTGGCTCTCACAAAAGGAATTGATTTTCTCACAGTTTATCCCACTACTATAGAGTCGACTCTGACCTACAGCGCTCCCTCGTGTCATGGAAGAGAACTGCCCCACAGGGTTTCCTAGGCTGTCATCTATTGTGTCACTATACACTTGTATATACTCTTATAGATCATCCACTCACAGCGCCCCCTGGTGTAACAGAGGAGGACTGTCCCACAGGGTTTCCTAGGCTGTCATCTACTGTGTCACTATATACTCGTATATACTCTTATAGATCATCCACTCACAGCGCCCCTGGTGTAACAGAGGAGAACTGCCCACAGGGTTTCCTAGGCTGTCATCTATTGTGTCACTATATACTTGTATATACTCTTATAGATCATCCACTCACAGCGCCCCCTGGTGTAACGGAGGAGAACTGCCCCACAGGGTTTCCTAGGCTGTCTTCTTCATGGAGGTAGATTGTTGGGTCTTTCTTCCTCAGAGTTGCTTATGGGCTTGAACCACTGACTTTCTAGAGAGCAGCCACACTCTTAACCAGTGCACCACCAGGGTTCCTTTTTTAAAAAGTACAGGTGAGGATTCCAGGAGTCTGACTTCAGGGTGTGAGCTCTGGGCTCCAGGAGTCTGCCAGGGTCTTAGCTGTGGGCTGGCTGGCTGTGTTGGTTTGGAGGAAAGGTCCTTTCTGTTCTGCAGCCTCTGTGTTGTGGGTGAGCTTTCTTCTCTGACCCTAACTGGTCTTTTTACGTCTCACCCTCCATTGAGATGGACCTATTATTGTAACAGAGAAAACACTCTTCTCAAATGGGGTTTGGGAGCACAGAATGGAGCACAGTTCCTCTGCCCAGTCCACCTTCTCTCCGTCTCCAAGGACAGAGCATAGTCCTCGCTCAGGGACTG